TGGATGAGCTGAAAAGATTTAACCCTGTGGTTCTTTCTACTCTCCTTTTCCCTTCCCCCAAACTCTTTTGGCCATTGGCCCCCTGTCTGCACCCTCCTGGCCACCCCAAAATTGTATAAACAAAACATAAAGATGAGGAAATGAAACAAAACGGAGTATTCTGTGCAGCCCCTAACTCTTTCACGCAGAACTTTTCTTTCGGATTTTATATAATTAAACCCAGCTAAAGATGTGCAGTACAACAGTCCAAGCCAAAGACTGATGGAAATTTGTATTAAAAATACTGAAAAAAAACGATCTCCTTCTAAGTGGCACAGAACTTTGAAGTTTGCACAAAGTATCGAGAAGCAGTTAATACACAATGCAACTAAGATGCCTTTAAATGGAGCATAAGGTATATTAACTCTCATACAGCACTCAAAGATGAAAATGTGCAGAAGCATTCAATGCAAATGATGCATTGAGGGCCTTGAGGCACGATACTATCTCTAATCACTTTCTCTTTTTGTTATGTTCCCTGACTTCCCTCACAAATTTAATTTTAAATCTAAGTTTTCAAAACAAGACATCAGTAGTCATTTACCCCAAGCAAAGGGACAAGGGGTTGCAGACATGAGCAAAAGGTTAAAAGAAACTAAAGGTCCAATTTTCTCAGTAAGAAGCAGTAGTAGCCACCATAGTTTGACAAGCTCTAAGCATTGAGTTAGAAACAATAAATCTTTATTCTCCAGTCTCCACTTAATTAGTGCCCCACTGCAATTACTCTACTTCTAGCTATTTACAAACTGGGTATACTTGATCTATTCAGAATATGGACAAAAAAGTATCCTAAAAGCCAGCTGTGAGATGGATCACACTTTAACTATAAGAAAAAGGAAAGATTTACCCAATTGAAAAAGTATAAGGAATTAAGGATAACAAATGCATCACTTACAGGACGACCAAATTTGGATAGCTCAGCAACCTTGGCTCTCTGTTGTCGTCCAGGATAACCTATTATACAGGAAGACAAATCAGCAAATCTTCACAAATGAAAAAACATAATTAATATGAACCAGGATCATTTTAATTGAAACTTAGCTATTAGGATCTACGAAGTATAACTTAATTGCATACATATGTCTTATGCCCTATCACCTATGTCGTCCTTGCCATGCATAAGTGCTCACTGAAATCTATGATATGCTGATCAGATAGAATGTTTCTGTAGCTTTGACTTTTATGCTCTACAAAGGACGTGCCAATTGCCAGTGACCATACTTAAAAGATAAGAAACCTGTAACACTACACCTCATGGGATGTATAAGCTTAAAAATTATACTTCGTAACTTAAAAGTATGCCAACTCATGTTTCATCGCATTTCCAGAGACAAAAGAACAAACATAACCTTCATCATATACCAATTACCTAGTCATGCACTTGGTCTAGTATTGGAAAATGACGACAGATTCAAAAGGTAAAATTGGTGTTTGAGCAGAAACTAAATAAACTTGCGATGCTTTGGATCATTACCAGTGAAAATAACAAGACCCTCAGAAGCAACCCTTGCCAATTCAGGAAGTGTTCTGTTAAGGTATCTAGGAGACAAATAATCCAGTGCATCTGATACCATAACAAGTGAAAATGATTTTGCACGGTATGGAAGAGGAAATTTGATATCAGCAACCCGCACAATTGCTTTACGCACAAGTTTCTGGCACTGATTATCAGCATCATCAATGTCATATGGTTCCACTCCCCATGCTTCAGTGCCGTCTTCTTTTAATAGCTTAGATACTACAGAACAGGTATCAGGGCCTACATGTAATACTTTATGCATGCTGTCTACGTATGCTTTCTTTAGAATAGGTAAGGCCAGTTGCAGCTCTAACGTGCATGACACACCACCTACAGAAATGCAACAAGAAGGTCAAATACTGGAAAAATTCTCAGATCATCAGCTAGCTTCTTTTCTATTCTCCTGAGTCCTGGCTAAAAAGTAGAGAATTTTGGCTAAAAAGTAGCTTTCTGCATACAAGAAAGCTAAACATATTTAAGATATTATGAAGTTGCTTTCAGTAATTAGCTTAAGAAAAATATACATGTGGTTACCCCTCCTCCCTCGAAAAATAAAATGCATTGATACTAGAGTCCGTGTTACATACTTCATTGGCCAGTGGTGCTTGGTTTGGATACCCTAATTATCTCTAGCTTGTGAAATACATCTTAGCAACTGACAAATAAAAGTCATACCCATTATACAGCGATTCTCGTTAAGAAATGTGCACACAAACAATAGCATTACCACAAGTTAAATTTATATCACTGCTATGCTAACCTACACACAAGAAACCAAGGAGTGAGTTATAGAATGCAAAGCTACCTTCAAATTTACTCACAACATCAACCCCTCTTGTCCAACCTGCAACATGTGAAAGTTAAAAGTTTACACATTGATTTATAAATCAGAGGTGAAGGTGTAAATGAAAATAATTGAAAGTTATTAACAAGAGCAAAAGCTAATAAGTAATACAATACATTACAAACCTGAAATGCTGTACGAGTAGGCAAAGAAAAGAATTGTACCCTGAAATTGACAAGAAAGTATAAGAAAATTTCTTTGAAAAGGCATGCCCGCATAAGAAAAAGTTGTTTTACACGAATAAAGAAAAGAGAAGTACCAAAAGCACAAGCCCTATAGTCAAAAGAGGTGACGAACGTGACTTTAATTGCACTGACCCTCCCAAAGAAATGGTCCCACTATCAACTAACCGCCGAGTAGGATTTACAGGTCTACGTGACATCGCAAAAAGTAATGGCAAAGACTATGGTATGCAAACTTGCAGTCCCCTAGCTCCTGCAAGATAACAGAACAAACAATCAGATTAATTTGCAGGATATAATCAGGGCATGTCAACATAAAGTGAATAATCTGTTGAATAAAGGGGATATCATGTTATTATATTGGCTAACTTGATGAGCCATCTAAGGTAGATATCGCATCTAGGACAGGATGGAATGAGATGCGATGGAATGGGAGCCTAAGAATTTATTGCCTAAGAATTTAATCAACAGTTCTACTCCTCTATTCTAACATGGCATCATCAATTACCATTTATTTAAGCACCTCCCTTCATATTTACTGCCACTGTACTATTTCAATTACCAATCATTTACAGATGGAGGGATCATATGTTTTGTTCTGCTTTAAATGCACAACAAAACATGGAGGCCTCTTCCCATGTTTTCTACAAAACGGTGTATGGCCATAATCAACGGTCTATGGCCATATAGTATCGAACTATTGACTAGAAATAGTGAAATACATTCCCTAGCCAAAAACAGAGGAGCTACATAGTGCATAGACTCTCTAACATGTACATTATAATTTTCTATCCAGCAACTAAAGTTCCCAAAAAGATGATTTTGATTTTGGAAACATCTTCCACCAAATTCAAAAGCAGAGTTAGTTCTATTTCCCGCAAAGAAAGCAGCTACTTAATTCTAATAATCACTGAACAGCAGAGCACCATAGCGTCTTTTCACCATCAAAATTATAACCCTTCTCGTCTTTTCTAGCCACTCCTAAAACACATTTCAAACTCATTCGCCAATGATTAACCTACCTTAAATTTTTTTTGATTTTAGCATGTTTATGAAATGACATGATCACTACACATTACACAGCAATCAAAACCACCCAATGGGCCCCAATCTGTGACATTTCCAGCAAGAAACTAACTATTTCATCGCAAACTGCTACCTCGTCCCTCCATCCCACTTTAATACGCCACATTTACAGGTAACATGTAAGGAATTCCCCCAAAATACAATAAACATCCTTGGTAATCAATAAAACAGAGAAAAAGCAGGCATTTCCGGGAATGCGCAAAATTTCACCAGCAATTTAGGGTTCAGGCTGTAATCAAACCCCTCATAATTAGAAACCCATATTCAAATTAATACAGTTTGTGAAATTACACAAAAATTATATACAAATGCCATAAAAAAGACTCAAAATAATAGCAAAAATCGACAGATAATGAAAATTAATAACAAAAAACAATCAAACTAATAGAAAACGAATAAACCCAGGTAAAATGCAAACAATATACAATTCAAGAAATTGAAAAGATAACATAAAATAAAGCAACAAGCAACAATTATCGAAAGCAAAGAATAAGAAAATGGGGAAATTAAATGAAATAAATTGGTAAAATAAGAAATAAAACCTGGAAATGAATGATTAAAAATTAGGAAATCTTGGATATAAATGACGAGGATTCGTAATTAGATCTGAGGCCTTCTCTCTCTTACTAGAAGCTCAAAATGAGAGTAAGATACTTAAACAATGGAACTGTTGTAACGCCTTGGTCCAAAGCCAAGGTTTTCAACTTATTATTCGATTTTTGTTGCTTTATTTTCTTTTTTTCAATGGGAAAATTATAAGAACCATGAATCATTTTATGAAATTATATTACTCCTGTCTTTTATTTAAGCTCGGACAAATTTATGCATTTAGGTTAACAATATTATATGGACGTATGATACAAAAATAAACCCACCAAAATAGCATATGGGACAATCTTTAAGGGATGAGAGGTCAAGAAAATACAAAGTATATTAATTAATAAATTGTGTGAATGGTACTTCGTATTATAGAAATAATTCGAACTTTGCTCTACAACGATGACTAATCTATATTTTGGCTAAGGGTCTAAAATATTTTTTATTTATTTGTTATGATAAATTATTAATTAACGAGCAGTATTTTTTTTTTTTTAATGAAAGTTGACAATGAGTCTTTAGAAATCTCAATTGGGTGTATATCTAAACAACTTGAGAGTCCTAACCGGCCTAGTACCCTAGTGTATTGGCTCACGAAACCACGATGTACATGAACAGCGAGTGCCACACACCAACATGCTAAGAAATTTGCTTATCAATTTCACTATCAATGAAACTATTGATTTTATTTTCTTTTTTTTAATAAAAAATATGTTGGTAGAAAACTAGAAAAGGAACAACGCCATAACAAAGCATCTTTATAATAAGAAGTTAAAGAATCCACAATCTGAGCAGATGAAATTGAGCTACAAGTTCATAATTAATGACAGACAAAGAAGGAGAAATTTTATCTCCCACAAAATAAACATCATTTACAAGTAGAAATAATACAAAGTTCTTATTCATCAATTAACTTCAGTCCTGAAGACAATGCTCATCAGCCTAAACAACAAAGAATTGGAATATAGAAGGATGAACTAAAGACCCATAATAACTGAAGTTTATAGCCTAAATAACAAAGAATCATGCTTAATTTTATTTGGATAGCAATTATTGCAAGCTCCTTTCGTGCAGTTGTGCTAATGAGAAGAACCAGATGTTATCGCTGGCAAGAAAGTGGATACCCTGCAATTATTCAGCAGTAGCTTCTTTCAAATAAGCGATCAGGTCTGCACGATCTTGTGGTTTCTTCAAACCAGGGAAAACCATCTTTGTTCCAGGAATGTACTGCATGGCACCCACAATATGTACAAGTTAATTCTAAGAAATATTTTTCAATACTATCTCCAACATTCATACATCAACTTATTCAAATCAAAGAGAGCAGTTATATTGGCCTTAATAGCATCACAGCATGTAGATCTCCTATATATGTAGCTGCCTCTGCCCTTATTAAAAGCTAACATAGTGTAAAGTTATAAGGATCAAGAAATTTAAAACCTACTCAAAGTGTATGTTTAATTATAATTGGGACGGACAAAATGATATATAGGAATAACCTACTAGTAGTAATATGCCAACTTGTAATTGGGACAGACAAAAATGATGTAAGACTAAATTATGTTAGCATTCTGCTGCAGTGGAAGAAGTATATCACAATTGAGGAGCAAGAATAGAAGATTTTGCTCAGTTATATCGACTTTGAAACGAACTTGAAGAAAGCTAAAACGGGGCAACAATGTACAAACACTACACAACTTGTACAGCATAAAGACAAGGGTGAAGAAGTGGAGGTAAATCTTTCAGACAAATAGATATAATAGGAGACATCAGCCTATATACTCAATACTCAAACTCCCCTAGTTCAAATCAACTAACCATGTCAAAATACTCTAAACGCATGACATGTAATTTTGGACGAAAAACATGCAAATTAGTTTATACTACAGCCAATTTTCACACTACGAACTTGTTAAACACTTGTGGCACGCAAATTAAGATCAAACATAGGCTTCAGGAATCAATTTGACGAAAAGAATACAATTGGGTCATCAACATACCTTCTTTGGGTTCAGCAGGTAGTCGTACAATGTATCTTCTCCCCACAAAACGGCCTTATTCTTGTTAGCAGAAGAGTAAGAATATCCTGCAGCTGAGCCTGACTGCCTCCCGAAAAGACCATTTAGATTAGGACCTATAATGTCATAAAACTGAATCAGAATAGCTACAATACAGACTCATGGTATTGTCAGAGGCAGCCAAAATATACTTCTGCATTTAATTCATAACACCAATGACGGAAGAAGCATAAATCAGCCAAAAGTACCAAAGTAGATTAAAATAAATAAATAAATAAATAAGCATTCTCAAATAACTGTCAGACACAACACGACGTTACCGAGAACATAACAAGACCACTAATCACAAAAAGTTATAAGATACATAACCATTATAATACACATCTTACATGATCATGATCAACCACCACATCGACAGAAACTTGAAGACCATAATAATACAATACAACAAAGGTTATATAATGAATAACTAAGTATCACATGTAAGTGCCATGATGTTTGTAGAAGAAATTATAGGCCAAACGCGTAATGTAACAAATTAAAAGATAAAAGCACAAATAAGACCCTCTAATGATACAACTTAACAAATACAAGTTCACTGAAACATCATTGTGGTTGAATATGATAGAGATATATCAACAAATCAGCATTGCCCAAGTCCATATTAAAATCGTCTAATTGAAGCTATAGACCTAAGAAAATTACAAATACGAAACCCCCTCATAAATCATCCACATATAACTTAAGCCACCAATACCCTTCAATAACCAAGTTATAATCTAGAGCTCCTTATTCAGCATTGAATCACAATCTCTAATAGGTGTACATAGTAGCGCGCGCTTACACCGTACAGAAGTAGCAACTAGCAACAAAGCTAGCTTTGGAATCACAATCTCTAATAATAGCTCTTACATAATTAGCAACAACTCAAGTGTTTGAATCACAATCTCTAATAGGTGCACAAAGCCTTGATCACACATAATAAGTAGCAACATCGCAAGTGTTCGGAATCACAATCTCGATTAGCTGAACGTTTACATAAGTAGCAACAAGGCGTTCAATTGTTCAAATCACAATCTCTAATTAGCATTTAATCAGAGCACCAACTCATTAACTAGCAATTCTAACCCAAAATCTGAAATTAGAGCACAATTAATAATTCTAAGCTGGCTGATTATTTGATCATCTAACATTTAACACAAATTCCATAACTTGATTAAACAACACTAACATATACTCATTTCTACTACGTTCATATATTTTTATGAAGAAGGGGAAAAATAAGAAAAAAAGACCTTGCTTATGACCAGCGCCTTTTTCGACAGTGTGACATTGAGCACATTTAGTCCTGAAAATCTTGGCTCCTGAATCTTTGTTTCCTGCTGGTGCTTCACTAAAACTTGCCATTTTTAGTAACAAACAACAAAGATTGTTTAACTTGCTACAATTAGTCTGAAAATCAGTGGAAGAAAATGGAAAGTAAAGAGGAAAGGAGATTTTTGAGAGACGAAAATTGAAGAAACTTCTAGAAAGTAGAGGGATTATTTATCACGAAACCTGTCTTCAGTCTTCTGGTAGCCTTGTTATTAATGGACGAAATCAAGCCACGTGTCTACTTAAAACGACCATCTTTTTTGATTAGTAGGACTACATTAGAGCAAGTGTTCTGCTTAAATATTTTTTTTATTAGCAACGTGACCGACGCGATGCTTGTTAAAATGGCATGGAGCCGACATTGCATGCCATGACACAACATGAAAAAAGCATGATATGAGATACGAACATGAGATAGACATGGCATACTACATTAGCGTACCATACCATTGAAAAAGTACGTAAAGCCCGACTCGACAAAGTACGCCAGAAGCACAAGGACCATGCCTGTATGTTGTATCCCCGTTTAAAAGCATCAACGCATCACACATTGCTAAGTAGGCTCAACTCATGGGGAAGGCAAAGCCAATGCAAGTTAAGGCGCTCAAATCATACCAGATTACCAGGAGCAGCAGGAATTATGATAAGAACAGGAACACAATGTGGTGGTCCAACGACCTTAACCTTGACCCCACTGTAAAGATCAAAATTGATGGTTCATGGACGAAAGGAATAACAGGAAGAGAAGGGGACTGGGAAGCTGCGGTTGGCTGGGTAATTTATGAGAATGGCTACAAGGTAACGCAGGGGAGTGCTAGAATCCTCGCTACAACCCCCTTACAAGCTGTAGCAGCGGCTGCCCTCCTTGCCCTGCACAGTTTTGATCTCGTAGGTAAGAGCATCATCATTCTGACTGACTGCAGTAAGCTTATTCATGGCCTCCAGAACCCAGACGCTGCAGATCGGGAGATCAAGGCGATAATTAGCGACATCAACACCATAGCTGACTCCTTAGCTCTCTGATGTTTAATAAGCCTAGTAGAACTGTAATAGCTGAAGCCCACAACCTGGCCTCAAGAACTAGGATGGGCTAATTTATTCTGTTGTTTCTTGGTTGTCAAAAAATAAAATAAAAAAAACAAAAAAAAAAAAGGCACACAACCAACTTCAAAATTCTGGTAGTTTTTCTACCACTACAGGGATGACAATATGGTTTGACAGACCCGGAAAAAAAATCAGTTGTTAAATGAATAAAACTAATTGGTCAGCATAAACACATTCAGGACAAATGAATTTAAGGGTCCTTGTTCCACTTCTGGAGAAGTAAGTATTAACAAAGTGACAACCAACTCTAGACCACGACCTGCAGGATATTATGCATCTGTAAGAAAGAAATGAATCGTTGAAAGTTTCACAAAATCTTAACGATTACAATTCAAACCATTTGTAAACCTTAATACAGCTTCTGTGACAAAAGAGATGGAACATTTTCCGATTTCTTCCCTTCTACAGAAGCAAATCAAGTCTGTAAGTCATCTGTAAACAATTGTTTAAACCAGGCCATAGCAGCAAGGTATAATATGAATCGAGGGTGACGTTTCCTCATCATGGTAAAACTTATTTGCAAAAACGAATTCTAAGTTGGTCTCGCTAAGGAAAATAACTCATTTTTTGATCAAAATTCTCCTTTGATCTCTCCTGACAAAAGGAATGAAGTATATAAGGTGCAATCAGATCACTGGGTAGATTCCTTCAGATATGCAATAAGGTCAGCACGATCTTGCGGCTTCTTCAAACCAGGGAACACCATCTTTGTGCCGGGAATGTACTGCATGATTAAAAATGGTGTAAGTAGATTGTGACAGAGACAAGTTACCACACAACACTACTACATTCGATGACAACTTGTTTTTTACAACATTAATTAAACAAACACAGCCTCAGAATAAAACGAAATTCCTCAGGTCGAAAGAATCATATCATGCAAACCAAGACAGTTAAATTGCCCAAAGTTCAAATTTATGACATCAATGAAACAAGATCCAACTTATAAGGCTTCGTCTACATAATATTCAGCTTTCATAACTCTATCAGGGAGAAAGATTCCAAAGATAACATAAGCTTCTAGGCCAAGTCTTTCTCAACAAAGACAAGCTTTTTTTTATGAAAGATAGGCAAGTTATCCATTTGTCATGGCATCTGAACAAGCTGGTTTGTTTTCAGAACACAGAGAAAATTCTAAATCTCAGTTTTACGTTTTCAAGTGAAGACAGGGAGCAAAAAAAAAGACAGCTTAGTAGAAACCATATGACATAAAACACAGACAGGTAAACACGTGACAGGAGAACATTTCAAGTGCTTTTGAGTATTTTTGACAACTGAACCAGATTTCTTAGAAAACAAGAGAAAAAGTAGAAGATTCCATATGTAACAATTTTATAGATAGATAACAAACCTTCTTGGGGTTGAGCAAGTAGTCGTATAGTGTGTCTTCACTCCAAACGACAGCCTTGTTCTTGTTAGCAGCAGAGTAAGAGTACCCAGCAGCTGTACCAGATTGCCTACCAAAAAGACCATTTAGATTTGGACCTGATTCAACACAAAACAGAATTAGAAAAGCTTGATATAACTCATTGTTGACAAACAAATTATTCTCAGATGCTATTAAAAAAAACAGCTAATGACAGAGCATATACAAGATAATTATTGGGTCAAGCAGCAAAAACTTGTTAATAGACCATATAAGCAAAATCATGTCATCACATCAAGGGGCAACAGACACACAGAGATATCTACAGACTACAAATACAATTAAAGTTGATCAACTAACACTCTAGAAATTCAAGCAACTGGACACAACTCATTCCAATTGCATCGTCTGAATATTTTCAAATATCAAGCAGTTGGTTCACATTGAGATACAGCCTAGACATGTTTGGTATCAAGACAGATGTTTCCTGAGCTTATGCAAAGCAAGCATCAATATGGTACATTGCATCGAAGGGTTCTAAAGTCCGGTCCTAAATAGCTCATTTTGGAACAAAGAAGCTGAGTAATAAAGAATGCAAGTCACTTATTACTTGGTCTGTATTCATTAAATGAGCCCAATATTACATTATCCTATTTCCCTTGAGGAAGAATAGAGCTCAAACCTTGAAAATGTAAAATCAATCATTCATAGGTAAGCTAGAAAGGTATCTCCACGAGAAAATCTAAGACATATTTGCATAACCGTAACAACAAAAACACAATGAGACAAAAAATAAGCTACTTTAAACAAAAAATTAATATGCACATCTGAAACTACAATTAATAGACAATGGAAACCCAAACTGCATATCAAATTACTCAAAAATGAAGTCATTCGAATACAATTATAAATTATAATTATAATTACGTAAACAAAGAATTGAATCAAGTTGTTGTTCCATCAACATTTCTAAACAAGAATTTTACTGTCTTAATCTAATCATTTTGCAAAAGAAAAGTAAACCTTGTGCCACCTTATTCAACATAAAGCAACTGCTAAACTTTCCACAAATGTCCTCTCTACTTTACAATTTAATTCCAAGAATCTCTCATTCAAACATCTTAAGAGCATAATGTACAATTACGCCATATACAACTCTCATTCAAACATCAATTTGAAATGCGTAATTCAACTCAAAATAAAGGTGGACAACTCAAAGCAATTCACAGACTTAATCTATGCTTAAAGTCAATCAATCAATAACTCTCAACGATCAACCTCGAAATTTCATAGAACATTAAACCTAAATCAATTTCATGCAAAACCAACCAATCGCAGAACCTCGAAAGTCGAAACTAACAATAATCATAATCAAAGCAGATCTAATTCGCAATTCATAGATCCAAATCTAAAATCCACATAAAAGATCATAACAGTAACAAAATAAGAACAAATCAAATTCTGGAAATTTTTTTTAATATAAATAAAAAAAATAGAAAAATACCTTGTTTGTGACCAGCGCCTTGCTCAACGGTGTGACATTGAGCGCACTTAGTCTTGAAGATCTTAGCTCCAGTATCCTTGTTACCAGCAGGTGCTTCGCCAAAAGTCGCCATTACTTTCTCTCTCTTCTGGTTTTTTTTTTTTTTTTTCTTTTGGTTCAAGAAAGAAGAAGGCAAATGCGAAAATTTTCTAGGTATGAGAAACCTTTGAAGAAAGGAAAGGGTTTGGGCCGAAGAAAGAAGGTCGGTGGGCCACCATTTTTCAAAGGTTAGCGTGTAATTATATAAGGCTAGACTCTAGTCTAGGCATCTTAGCCTACACCCCTTCCTAAACTCATCGTTTAACACCCCTTTCCCAAATACTTACTTTTACAGTAACTACATAGTAATATCCGTACTATTTCCCCCACCCCATATATACATAAGAAAAAAAAACTATTATCATTTCACTTTCTCTCTCCTCACCCATTTTCTACATTTTCTCTCTCTACATCTATTTTTTGCATTTTCAAATATGAAATTTCTATAAATTTGTGACAAATTATCAAAAAAAATTGTTCAGTTACTACATAATTCAACTAATCAAGGTCGAAATTCAAAGGAGTAAGTGATTTTGTTCATATTTAGTTCAAAAAAGAATATAAAACGAACCCTAGTTTTAGTAATTTTTTGTTGCAATTGTGTTACAGGATCATCATCGAAGTATAAAACATAGAAAAAGATTATGAACTATTGCATTTTAGTATTTTTTACTAATTTTCGTTTAAAAACTAGTAATCTGAACAAGTAGCTTTTCATTTTTGGGTATAAACTATGAAGTATTCTCTCTTTTTTTTTTTGGGCCGTTGAAGGAAATAGTTTCAGAGAAGAACATCAAAGAATCTGGAGAAAAGTAAACATTAATTGAATTAGTTTGTAGCGTTTCTTTTTTACTGAATGTTCATTTCCGTTTCAATAAATGTTCATTTATATACTAGTATACAATCATTCACATGTTAATAGATGATTAATATAAATATATTACTACATTTATATATCACAACATAGTCATTGTATTAATGTTAATTCTTTTTCATAGTTTGGAGTGGAAAATTATTACTACATAGTCATTGTATATATAAATGTTCATTATTTTTCATAGTTTGGAGTGGAAAGTGATTTTAGATGAATATTCGGTTGTATTTTGGTAGATGTTCAATCGCATAAAAGTATATGGTTTTCACATATTAATATACGATTACTAGAATTTTGTTAAATATTTATATTTTGGTCATCTTCTTCAAATACTTCATGCTCGGTTAAATTTTGAGTTTCAACATATGTCTTTTTTCAGATGGATGTATGATAAATCACATATTGATAGCTTCAAGTGTTATTTACGTATATATTTCATGTTCATCGATTGATATCTTTCATAGGCATTTTTAAACTAATGCATGTTCATTTATATATTAATAGATGTACATTTTCATATTCAATTATGTAAATATGTTCATTATTGTATTAATAGTTGTTCATTCCATATTAATAGATGATCAATTCTACAAATATATATGTTCATTTATATATTAATATATGTTCATTTCCATATCGATCATTTCAATTGTTATATTTTCATATTCATATGAAAATTGGTTCATTTCAACACTTATTCTTGCTCAAATCTAACTAAAAAAATCTTGTTTTTGTCGATTAGTTAAACAAAGAATCGTGGATATTTAGCAAGGAAAAAAAAGAAAGATCAGACGACAAAAATAAGGAAATCAAGAATGCATGGATTCGCGCAACATCAATATGTGTACAATTGAATTGTATATTTAATATTCAATAGTTTAATTTTTGGTGATATACAATTTCTATTTGATTTTAATAAGAAGGATATAAACTTTTTGTTTCCCAAAGTATTATTACAAATCACATCGTTCAAAAGCAAACATTTAAATAGTATATATATAATACTAATATTTTTTTACGACTTTGAACCATCATTCACTAACTATATTAGAATATGTTCATAAACACACCTTAACGATCAATAGGAAACTGTACAAAAGTTAAACATTCAGTTCTTGTATCAAGTCACTCATAGGATCTAATATTTCTACACTTATTATCTTTATAACCCCTTATTAGAACAAATAAATCCTTTCATAAAAAATGAGCCATCCTTTCGCCTCTTACTCCTCCTAACTCTGATCCCAAACCTTTCATAAAAGCATACTCATTATATATTTCATAAGCATCATCTACCGAAGGAAATTGTTTCCTCCGAAAATCAAAGTGACTTGCTTCTTCAAAAATAACAGCATCCTCTATTCCCACTGCAATAATTAAAAATGTAATAAATGAACAAATACAGTAGCAATAATGGTCAATTACAATAATGCATTTGATCAATTACAGTAAAATTACCATATGTAAAAATATATATGATCATCTATAGTTACATAACTAAACATTATTAATGAAACTACAAAACAGTGATAATCATTAAAAGTTGCATGTACAACTTATAATTCCATAAACACAAGTGTATATATAAATGAACATTTATAATTGCATAATTGGACATTATTACAACAAAACAGAATAACAAATGTTAAACTATTTTTTTTGAGGGAATAAATATTAAAATATGTTCACTAGTTAAAATTTACATGAGCATCTTTAAAAGAATGAAAATCATTCAAATTTACATGTACAACATATATTTTCGTATACGACTACAATAAACCTATAGTTTACTACAGAAACATACATTAAACATAAATGAACATTTACTATTACACAAGTGATCATTTTTTTACTAAAAGTATTTTTAAACGATACACCAATGTGATAAAAATAAACGATTTGGCAAAATAATAACAACTATAAATGTTCATATAAGACGCACAAAACTGGAAAGGCAACAATCAAATAATAAGATTACAATCAAAATTACAAAATAAAAACAATTACACAAATAGAAAATTTTCTCTCCTTACCCATTTTTCTCCATTTTCTCTCTCTACACCCGTTTTGTATTTTCTTTCTCCAAACCCATTGATATACTTTTTCTAATAGAAAATTTCTACAAATTAGTGACAAATTATCAATAAAAATTGTTCAATCATTACAAAATTCAACAAAACAAGGTCGAAATTCGAAAAAAATAAGATATTTTGTTCATATTTGGTTCAAAAACAAGTATGAACCCTAGGTTTTACTAAATTTTTGTTGTTATTGTATTTCAAAACAAAAATCGAAACATCAACAATGGAAAATGCATCAACGTAAGTATTCGCTATATTTTTAGGAATTTTTGTTCAAAAACTAGTCAAATGATTTTTTTTTTTGTACAGTGAAGAAAACAGTTCCAAAGAAGGAAAACATATGTTCTGGAAAAATTTAAGTATTAATAAAATTAATTCGTTGTGAATTTTTACTTTTGATAAATGTTCATTTTTATTTTGATAAATGCTCATCTATACATTTGTATACTATTATTCATATGTTTTTTCTGTTTTTTTTTTTTTTTTTTTTGAAAAAACTATCATTTACATATTAATAGATAATTAATATAAATGCTCATTTATTTAATAATTCATAGTCATTCGTGTAATAATGTTCATTTTTTTCATAGTCTGAAGTGGAAAATTATTTGACGAATGTTCATTTTTTATTTTGGTAAATGTTCAATCACACAATAGTATTTGGTCATTCACAATTTCATATATTAACATACGATTATTAGAAATTTGATAAATGTTCATATTCTTTTGTTATCTACTTCAAATGTTTCATGAACATTTCAATTTTGAATATTTCAATATATACATTTTCTCATATGAATATATGGTCAATCACATATTGATATATAGCTTCAAGAGTTCATTCGCGTATATATTTCATGTTCATCAATTGTTATCTTTCATGCATGATCATTTTCAAACTAATATATGCTCATTTATAGAGAAATAGTTGTTCATTTTCATATTGAATACGTAAATATGTTCATTTATGTGTTAATAGTTGTTCATTTTTATATCGATAAATGGTCATTTCCATACTAATATATATTCATTTATATACTAATAGATTTTCATTTCCATATCAATCATGTCAATTGTTATATTCACTCATTTTCATATTCATATAAATATTGGTTCAATTTAACACTTATTCTGATATTGCTCAAATCTAATACATTAATTTTTTTTCCTATTAGTTAAACAAAGAATCGTAGATATAGTGAGTTAGATCACACAATAGCAAGGAAAAAGGGAAGACATTACAACAAAAATAAGGAGATCAATAAGGCATGGATTCGTCAAGCAACATGAACCAATAACATGGGCTTGGATTTTTCAAATTCGGATCGAAACGTTTATTGTGTTGGATAATATGTGTGGAGTTGTATTTTATATTATAATATTTATTTTCATATTAATAGATATCCATTTTCATTCTAATCATTTCATTTTAATAGATAGATTTACATTGCAATAATAATGATATAAGATGTTAATTTATTAGATGTTTGTTTAAGTTTTAATATATTTTATTATATATAGAAAAATGTACAATTAATTTTTAATATTTATTCATTGTCATACATAAAGTTATTCATTTTGTAAGACACATATGTTCACTTTTAAATAATTATATGTTCATATTTATAAACATCTATTTTCATTTAGATATATATTTATTACAAAGTACAATATTTATAAACATGGTTATTCACATATTAATTTATATATGTTCATTTTCAATTCAATACACGTGTATTATTATTATAAAGAAGACTAAAAAACAGTCAATTAAATTACTCAGCAATACCAATAAAATAGTGTCTATCCTATAAAATATGCATCAGATGCATGTAATTTTTTTTTATTTTTTTATTTTTTTAAGGAACAGATGCATGTAATTATAAAGCTACTAGTTGTTCAAACAAAATTTTATCATGTAAAAATTGTTCATTTTTATATTGATAAATGCACATCTTCATTATGATTCATTATCATTTTATTTTTAACAATTAAATGTATTTATTTTAAATAAAAATATACATATACTTAAATGTTCATTTTGATACTAAAACACCTATTATGTCATGAACATGTTAATTTTTTTTTTTATAAAATATACTTCGTATTCTAGAATGTAATAGTAAACGTTTACGCATATATAAATGAACATTAAAATAGTACATATTCATGTTGATATATGTTCATTTGCATATTAATGAATAGTATATAACATA